GATACTTGATTCAATTAATTAATTTAAAAAATTAAAAATTAAAAAATTATTTTAAATTGTTTAAATTTATTATTTTTCTTAAAGTTAATTTACCTGTCTTACGAATTGATCTACTACCTCCGGTCCTTAATATAAGACTTTATTTGACTTTTATTTTGATCCTAAATACGATACCTCAATCCACTTTGTCTATCATATTTATGCATTTCTTCCCGAGATAGTTCTTTTAATAATAGTAATTCTAACCAATATACTTAATTAGCAAGGATATTTTAGGAAACACAACACCTATTTATTGCGAATAATTAACTTAACTTATTTTCTTAATCTCCTCAAATTAGTTAACTAGCTTTTATAATTATAACCGGAGGTAGTATAATCTAATAATCTACGTAAGTAATTAGAGAGATCAAGTAATAGATGTTATAATTAAGTAAATCTTATATTTAAGACTAGAGGTAATATTATTTTGACAAGTTATTGATAAATTATGTTCCCAGTGTTAGGAAGATTAAAGGGAAAGGAATATTAACCACAAATATGATGGAAGATTGGAAGCCCATTCTGATCATTTACAAATGACGGAATATAAATAGAAACAAAAAGTGTGTACCTTCCGGTATTCACACAGAGTGGTATGACGGAGGAAGTCAGAAAACTTGATGATTGGGGCATAGGGAAATGAGCTGAGATACCTCCTAATTATAGAAGTAGAGTGACCATCATTTTAGGAATATGCAATCTTACTCATTTATTATAGGATAATATTCTGATTTACAACGACAATTAATATTTGATTGATTTTTTTTTCAGTCAATCAATCAAATCCTTAATGTGTGATTGAATATTCTTTAATCAATCATTGCTATTGATTGGTGATTAATTTTCTTTTAATTAAAGAGATTCTCCTCTTATGAATCCAATAGTCCAGCCAATCAAGTCGTTTACTAGTTTTTGTTTCTTGTTCATTTTGATGATGTTTGCGATCGTACGTGGTGTGCATGCAGCTGAGACAGCTAATTAACACAAATCAAACTGGACCCACAACTGAGCGATCGACGACGTTACTTATTTAATTAGGCCCCAAAGCTCCTACCAATATGCTGGTAGTAATATTATTTTAATATTAACACAAATCATCTATTTTTTGATCCCACGATGGAGATGGGATTATGAGAAGAAAAAAATAAAAGAATGATTCTAAGAGGATCTAAACCCCCCTCTCGTGTTATCATTGGTGGTCTTCTCCTTTGAAACTCCGATTGCTTCCTTCAGGTTCCTCATTGTTCTCTCCCACCCATACTTTTTTGTTTATGGTAGTTTCTATCATGATAATGATGATCAAGAATAAAAATTCTATGAGGCATTTAGGTGATTTTGAAAACATTCGCTGGTTTGGGTTGTTCTTCATTGTGGGATTTCCTTTGTTGGTCTCATGTTATTTCGTTTGCTAAATAATGGTTCTTACGGTTATTTCATTAATGATCTAATAGTCGTAATTTTCTTCCGGGGATGTTTCAATTGTGAATTTCAAATCAATTACTCGTACATTTGGTGAGTTGTTGTAATTCAAAAATATAGAATTCCCTAGCTGTAAATACTTCATTGGCGTCATATGTGTGCTCATACTTTTTCCCCCCTGATTTATCCTTTTGGTGTTAATTATTTATCAGAGATTTGCACAACACATCCCTCGCTGGTGAAATACAGAACTTGGGTAGCTAGCAACGTTTTGAGAAACTGTAATGCCTCCCAAGAGTAAGAACTTGATCTTTGGCTTTATGCAGAGGATATTTGATAACTGCTCTGAAAGTTTAGGAACCTGAGTTTCAAACTAGATAAAATCCTTTGGAGTAGGAGTGAGCAAAACCGAACCGAAACCTAAAACCGAACTAAACCGAAATTAATTCGGTTTTTTCGGTTTGGTTTTTTTCGGTTCGATTAATTCGGTTTTTATTTTCTTTTGGTTATTTTGTTCGGTTTTCAGGGTTCGGTTTGGTGTGTATAAAGAAATTTTGGTTATAATCGAATAACCGAATTAAACCTTTTTTTTTTTTAATTTTTATCTTTCTCTTACTATTTTTAATTTCCCTCCCTTTTTACAAAAATATTTCGGTCACTCCCTCCCTCACTCCTAGACCAAAACGCAATGCATAGCCCGTCAAACTTGACTTCACAGATGCTCTCGGCTCTCTCTCACTCTCAGTGACCCAGTCAGTCAGTCTCAACTCAATGCTGTGTCTCTCTCGAAGGCTTGCCCTAGATCGCACATCGCGGCACTCGCGTCCTCTCCTTCTCTCTCACTGAGCTTCTTGCCTTCTCTGAGAGTGAGCTCATCTGTCGTCCGTTCGTCGTCAACCTGTCGTCATTGCCTCATGTCTGGTTTGTGGCTTCAGACCTGAAGGTAATCTGACATCGCCCCTGCTTCGTCTCTAGCTCTCTACTGCCCCTATGATTCTATGAAGCCTTCGGTGCTCAGGCCGTCCAGCGTCTATTTGTTTTGTGAGAGGTGAGTCGATGATTACTGATCTGTTTTGTGGAATATTCACTCTCCACTATTCTCTTAGCTGCCATCTTTGATTTGATTAGAACATATAGGGATTATAATGGCCTTTGTATGACTGTATCCACCTCACCAACATATAGGATGGAAGTCACTGAGAGACTAGATTCATCTAGGTTGGCTACTTATTTGGATTTGGTTTTTCCTGCTTTGGCTCAAAGTGAACAAGGAATCCGAGCCGAGCTATTTTTTTTTTTTAAAGTAGAAATATATCTATGATTCTATCTACTGAAGAGTAAAGACGGGAAGAATCGAGAAATGATACTACTTTCATTTTTTTTTTGTTCGATATCATGAATTCATGATCCCCTATACTGCACATATGTCTAAAACCAAAATTCCTATCCGGTTAGAAAATGTAAATTAAAAGGAAGGGAGATTGATTATAGATAGCAGCTATTTATTCATTATCTATTCATTATAAATTGTCCTCTTTCTTATATAATCTGTCATTCTGTTGTAACTAATTTATTTATTTAATTAGATGTCTTCTCATGGTGAAGCAATGGGTGATGCTCAAGCTGGGGATGATGGTGCTACTCAACAACAAAGCCTTCAATGCCTATAACAAGTGGAACTACAAAAAGAAAAAGCATCAAGCCAAGATCAAAAGTTTGGGAGCATTTCACCAAATTTGTGAATGAAAGAGGTGAAATTAGAGGTAAGTGTAATTATTGCGGAAATGATCTTGCATGTGATCCAAAAGCTAATGGAACCACTGTATTGAACAATCATATGAATTCTTGTAAACTGAAGCCCCCTCCCGAAGAACTTGCACAATCTCTTTTGAATTTTAATGTAAAAGATGACAAAATAGGTCTTGCAAATTGGAAATTTGATCAAGATGCTATTAGAAAAGCTTTGTCATGCATGATAATTACTAATGAATTACCTTTCAAGTTTGTTGATGGGAGTGGGCTTAGGCAATTTATGTCTATTGCTCAACCAAAATTTAAAATTTCATCAAGATGGATTGTTGCTCGTGACTGTTTTGGGATTTATATTGAGGAAAAAGTTAAATCTAAAGACTATTTGTTGCATAAAAGGCAAAGGGTTTGCCTCACTAATGACACTTGGACTTCCATTCAAAGAATTAATTACATGTACATTACTGCTCATTTCATAGATGATGCATGGACATTGAGAAAGAGGATTTTGAATTTCATTCCAATTTCTAGTCATAAAGGAAAAGATATTGGAATAGAAATGGAAAAATGTCTACTTGAATGGGGAATTGAAAGGGTGCTCACAATTACTGTGGACAATGCTAGTTCTATTTAGAAGGAAAAATTATGAACTGGGGTCATTCAGTTATGAAATGTCAATTCTTACATATGAGATGTGTTGCACACATAATTAATTTGATTGTTACTGATGAGTTGAAGGAAATAGGAAGCTCAGTGAAAAAAGTTAGAGAAGTTGTCCGCTTTATTAGGCAATCACCCCTTCGAATGAAAAAGTTCAAAGACAGTTGTAAGGATGAAAAAATTCAAAGTAAACAGATTTTATGCTTAGATGTCCCAACTAGGTGGAACTCTACCAATTTAACGTTAGAGACTGCTCAAAAATTTGAGGCAGCCTTTAAAAGGTTTGAAGATAAATATCATTATTTTCGATTTGATTTTGAAAATGGAGAGGGGGTGCCTGAGTCTGAAGATTGGAAGAATATTAGGAGGATGATCATGATATTGGGTCAGTTTTATGAGCTTACTGTGCAGATTTCTGGCTCTTTATTTGTAACATCTAATACTTTTTTCGTGAAAGTTATAAGCTATATCGTTTTTTGGATGAGTGGACAAAATGTGATGTCTGGGAATTGGCTTCCATGGCAAACAGAATGAAAGAGAAATTTGACAAGTATTGGAGAGATCCTTTGAAGATGAACCAACTTCTTTATATTGCTGTTGTTCTTGATCTCCGATATAAATTAGATTGGGTGCAATTTGCCTTGTGTAAAATGCACACAAGTGCAATTGGTACAAGTTGGGGGATGCATATTAAAGAACTTTTGATTTCTTTATATAATGAATACAAACACATTTTTTCCCCCTCAACCCAATCTGAAAGGGAGCCAGTGCATACCACACAAGAGGATTGTCATGAAGAGGATGACCCTGCTATAAAAGTGAGACAATTGCTTGATATTGAGAAACAAGAGTTCATAAATGAGTGTCTTGGTAGGAGAACTAGCAGAGCTGAGGTTGATAGATATTTGAATGAAGAAATTGAGCTTACTAAAGAAGACTTTGATATTTTAGGTTGGTGGAAGCTAAAGGTCCTAGATTTCCTATTTTTTCTCTATTGGCTAGAGATGTTTTGGCTATCTCAATTTCCACAGTTGCATCAGAGTCTACATTTAGCACTGGAGGACAAGTTCTAGATTCATTTAAGAGTTCTTTAACTCCTAAAGCTGTGCAATCTTTAATTTGTGCTCAAGATTGACTTAGACGCTCAATTCAATATATTGTAGAAGAAGGGAATGATGATATTCAAAAGATAGAACTTGGTAATATTGTACTTTTACTTCATAACATTATATTATAATGCTTGATTTATTGATATCATATATCATATGAATTCTGATTTTTTTGTGTGTAGATTTGCAAAAAATTGCATTGGAGGCAACTGTTGATATATTGTAGACGCCAAGAAAAAAAATACTTGAGTAAACAAATCTTATGCTTAACTTGTTCTTTTTCTAGCTCTAAAATTGTGCACTCTCTAATTTTCTTCTTCTTTTTTTTTTTGTTTAATTGTAGTTGTTGATGACTTAGTGTTGGTGGCAAGTTGCATGCAAGGAATTTGGGTGCAAGGATTGGCTAGAATTTGTTGTAATTTTAAATTTCACATATTTTGTTGTTGGTACTTGATTGGTTTGTTTGGATCTTAATTGTGTCTGGATTTGTATTTGTTATTAGTCTGTATGCTTTTATGGGTTAATGTTTGAAAGAGATTAATTATTATTTATTTTATTTTATGATATGTAAGTAACATGCATAAAATCAGAAATGGGGAACTTGGCATTTGTGAGATGCAATTGGGTAGTGGCATATGGAGGAGCACTGAAAAAAGATGTGGTTCTTTTTTTCACATTCATTAGAAGAGCATACGTGTGGTTCTTTTTTCAAACTCCCTCTTTAGTGGCCCACTACAATAATGGGTAGAGACAAATATTTTAATGGGCTATGCAAAAACATAAAGGAGAGACATTTTTTATAGAGATTCACCAAAAAAAAAAAAAGATCTTAATGGGCCTAGCTCAGTTGGGCCATAATAGGCATACTATTAAAAAGGCCCAATAACCGAATTAGGCTCTTAACCAAACCGAAATATTTTCGGTTATTTTGGTTCGGTTACCAAACTATGTTTGGTTTTGGTTCGGTGTCGAAATTATGCTATGTTCAGTTATTCAGTTATTTCAGTTATATGCACTAACCGAACTAAATAACCGATTGCTCAGGCCTACTTTGGAGTGGAGCTGGATAATTTGGTTAGCCTTCAAATCTTGTGAGTACTAATCTTTGAAATGTTTTTAAGACTTGGAGCTTAGCTAAGAATATAGAAGTTTGAACTCTAGACTAATCATACTGTTATGATTTTAAGCTTAAATTGTTAGGTGAAGTTCTTGGTTATGAAGGTTTAAGAAACGAAGTTAAAGTCCATTAATAGTTCAATGAATAATACACTTTTAGCTATAATATTCTACTTGTCAAAATATTCTATCTCAAAAATGATATTGTAGATGCAAAGTGATATATTAATCTTACATTCATTTTCTTTTTCACTGCATGAGCACAAACTTGCAAAACAATAGGCTCCAAGGATTGTTCCTGGTAGCTTGGGAGAGTTAGAATACCTCCACTTTCTACAAGTTTAATTAGCATTAGAAAAGAAACATCTCATAAAATCATATGACAATACTTTTCTTTCTATTTGTTTTTCTGTGCATCATTATTTGCTTTGCACAATATATTAATTTCGATTGGCAAAAAAATAATTTTTTATTTTCAGAATATGTTCTTAGTTTTATTAAAAAAACAGTATGCAACTATAATTTCAAAATAGGCCGAAAAACCATTTTATAAATTTAAATTCTATTTGGCCAAAATACATAAGAATTATAAAATTAATTATCCTTAAGAGATTTCGACAACAATAATTGTTTAATATATAATGGTTGAGAATCGAATTCTGAACTGCTTTTAAGACACAGAAGTCTTTACCACTCATATGTTAAGTTGAGTTATCCAAATTTTATTTTATGGACCAACCTGTATTTTCTCACTTACTTTTTATAATGAATAAAAAGTATGTGTAATTAAACTTGCTCTTTCAAGAGAATAGAATAATGCATTTTATACAATTTTTCTAGGGATTCAAAACATCAATGTTGCCCAAGGGATCAATTTTTTACATAAACTTTAAAAAATAATTTTAAAAATTAAAACTCTAATTTTTTATGCATGTTATGTTACTAAACAACATATAAACTTTTTTATGCATGTTATGGCTCACTTACTTTTTATAATGAATAAAAAGTATGTGTAATTAAACTTGCTCTTTCAAGAGAATAAAATCAAACTTTAAAGTTGGATCTTGATTTTCTTAAGACCATAGTTTTATGTCATGGTCCTTTAATCTGTTCTTTGAAGAACTTATATGACCCATGCTATGCACAGAAATTGAAGCAGAGTTATTAAAATATCTCTTCATTATTTTAATGTATTTTTAGGCCATTCTCTCCTTATCTTCAGAGATTATGTTGATATAAATGGCTTACACAGATGATAAAGAGAAAAAGATATTGGGACTATTAATTATGCGCCCAACTTCTCGTTTAACTATTGTATCTTAGTTATCTTGAACAAAACAACATTTTAATTTTTTTTTTGTATTTTCAACTTGTAAATTAAAATCATACCTGGACGTTTCTCAACTATGGCTTTCACTTTATTCAGAAATCTTGTAGGAAAAGATGGCAAAGAAGAGTGTAGTCTGATCCCTCAAAATGAATGGCCAAATCTCCATGGTGAACATTCAACAACAAACCACCATTTTCACTCTAATTTAATTTTCACACGTTAGACAAAAGTATCCGTCCTAGGCTTCAGGATGCAGTTTCGTGGAAAGCTCCATTCAACTACTATAAGAAAATATTTATGAAGAATAAAAAATTTCTGAGACATTAATGCTAGAAACGAAACAACATGCATTCAAGAAAAAAGAAAAAAAATCATTGAAAAAAACAGTTCTTGTCATCAAGAAATTAAATACCTTTGTCCAATTATTGGTTTCACAAGGGAGAACCTTAAAGAGTTTAACAAAGGAAATTCCAGCAAAGAAAAGGTATTTCAGAAAAGGATTCATAACAACTCACTAACTATTTGCTAGCAATTTCTTGAGATGTTCAAATTAAACCAACTTATTTTCAACTATCAAAACCACTCAGATAAATATAAAATATAAATTTTATTATTGACATCAAGTCATTAAAAGAGAGATCAAGAACAATGAGGAAAGAAAAATGAGAATGAGAAAATAGATGGTAAGGATCATTAGCTGAAAGACTGCAATTTCTTAGATAAAGCTCTTGAATGTTGGAGCTAAAGTGGAAGGGCCATTGAAATAATGATGCGCGCGTGTTGTCAAAGTAGAGATCAAGAACGACAAGAGACAAAGAATAGTTGGGAGGAAGGTTATGGGCATAAGTAATGCACTACAGACACAAAATCACTTTCAGCGACGACTTTCAACGGCGACAAAAAAAGTCACCACTGAAAGCATGACTTGTCACCGCTAAAAGTGGGACTTTTTAGTGGCGATATCAAAATCCTCGCCGAATGTAGGACTTTCTATGGCAATTGCATATGATCCCTGCTAAAAGGTCCAATATTTGGTGGTGACAAAAATGTTGCCACTGAAAGCTTTGTTGCTGGTGAAAGTCAACTTTTAGCAGCGACACAAGATAATCACCACTGAAAGTACTTTCTACACCGACAAAATTATCGTCGCTGAAGTGTTTTTCAAATTTCTTTTATTATTTTTATTAAAGGTTATTATATTTATATCATAATTGTCTTTATTGATATAATTAACTCTAAATAACCAAAGCTTTTTTTTTTTAACGTATTATTGTGTTAGAGGGAGAGTTAGAGAGAGAAAATGTAGTGAGTGAGAGAGAAAGGAGGAGGTAGAATGGGTGGGGTGTGCATGAGATAGAAATGTTATAATTATATATGTAAGATAGAATTAAGAATGTGTGTGAGGAATGGAGTGCAAGCATACATGAAGGAGAGATGTACGTTTGAGAGATAAGGAAAGATGGGAAGGTAGTGAGAGATAGAGTGTGTGAGAGAGAGATGTAAAATGTAATTAAAATATAATTGAAAGTGAGATAGTGTGTGTGAGAGGAATGCATTATAATTGAAAGAGATAGCATAGTTAAGTTTATGAGGGAGAGATGATTATAGTTAAATTAGTGTGAGTGTACTACGGCAACCTTTTTTGTCGTTGCTGAATATATGACCTTCAGTGGTGATGTTATCACTGAAGGGTTCACTTTGAGCAGTGACTTTCTTATGTCGCCGCTGAAAGTATAATCTAATAATATATATTTTATTTTACAATAATAATAAAAAAATTCAATTTAGCTTAATGGCAAGAAGATTGGACACGTAAGGAGGTGGTCACGATTTCAAACCTTAAAGAAGACACATTTAAGGAGAAAATATTTAGGCGGTGATGTGGCGATGACAGGGTGACATGGCATGAGAGTGGTGAGGTGGCAATGACGTGGAGGTGGCTAGTGATGACGTGTCATCTGGTCGGTGATGACGTGGCTACCGGCGATGATGATGTGGCGTCAATAAAACCAATTTTTGTTAGGCATCACTTTTTGCGGTGACAAAAAAATCAATTTTTTTGTAGTGATACCACATCCTGTTAATCAAAGTTCTCTTAGTTGCGACAAAAGTTTGCCAATAATTTGGAGCCAGAGATGAGAACAAGGTACTTTCCTAATAACTCATCTTTCCCTTTACTATATTCCCCAACCAAGTCATCCCAAGCATAATATTTGATTTAGGGAGGCAAAGTTTTAATAAACTTGAAACCGAATGGAGTCGTGCAGTCTTTACCTACTATCGGATTAAAAATAACTTTGTAAATTTTCCCAATATTTTCATTCTATCCTTCAAGTCTAATAACTAAGTCGGCACTGGCCACTGATTTATCTACAGTCATCGTCACTGGCTGCGGCGAATACATTAACCACTCGCATTTTTTGGGGGTCCCAATGATCACTTGTCTTCTCTGCCATGTCCTTCTCTTTATAAAAACCTAACCTCGTTACCAATTTTCAGCACTCTCTTAACCTAAAAAAAAACTATAACAAAACCACCTCATACTGCTTTGTTAATATAATCTTCTTCATTTAAGCATGCCTACGATTGGTGGTTCCAAAGCTTTATGGCGACGGTGTTTGACCTCAGCAATCCGAACCGCCTTGGCCTGCACCATCGTTGGTGGCATCACCTTTTTCGGTCCTTTCTCAATCCAACAGACGATCGCCTTCCCTGCATTCTCGTACATCACATTTATTCTCATTGTAAACGATGCCACCTTGGGTGACACCTTGCGTGGTTGCTGGCTTGCGCTTTACGCCACAATTGAAAGCATAGGTCCTGCGATATTGAGCTTGTGGTTTATAGGGCCGAGCCGACTGACGAAGGAAACTACGTTGTTGGCGGTGGCGCTGGCAGCATTTATGGTGGTGGCTTTGCCGGCT